CTCTAGTGTTTAAAGGCAGTGTATAGCAAATTCAGCTTAGTCTTTGTTTCCGCTCCGTGATCGCAAGAGGTAAAATCATTGATTAATGGGTCTAAGGGGCTGAACCTTAGCCCTGGTCTGGGGAGAACTACCTAGTGAAATTGCTAAGCGGTGGAGCCTCTGAACATGACATTGAGGCTAGAGGCAGAGGCGGCAGTAGAGACAGGGGTGAGCAGCAGCAGCAAAGCGGTGGCAGAGGCTACAGAAGTCAGCAGCAGAGGTATTGATCAGTCCCCCCTTTCAGAGGTGGGAATGAGCCATGTGGACACACCCCTGAATTCTGGGACTTTGCTGACTTCAGACAACCAGCCATGAGTGGGATGTAGCAGAGGGAAAAGGGAGCAGTGTGTTAAAGGGACATTCATCCATCAGACTTCCACACCACAAGCTGGGAAACTGAGGCAAAGGACACTGCCCAAGATATTGAGGGGTAGGGGTAGGTGTCTACTGATGGTTTGCATACTTTCTCTCCCTTTTATTGAAAGTTTTCATTTGTTATACACAGACTCAATGCTTGTGAGTGGGGAAGTATTGCCTGTTAGAGGTGCCCGGGGTGGTGTTTAATTTTCCCAGATTATCGGGTGGGGGCTTGAGCTGGTTCTCTTTTGCAATGTTAAGAGGAATCCCTAGATATTGAAACTGGCCCTTGTTGCTGCCAACACCACCTGGCAGAGGGGTACAGATATAAATAAAAGGGACTTAAACTTATGTACAAAGGGTGTCCCACCTTCAGGGTCATTGCAGAGTGTGCGTGTCTCCTCTTGCTTGCTCACTCTCTGCTCCAAAAGCACTTGATGTATATCACTGGGACGTAAACATATGAATGAAATGTCCAAAGCGGCCTTGCTACGTGGCTGCTAAATATGTTGTTTCATGCATGGCAGCCAAAATCTGTGCATCCAAACAAACACTTTTATACATGAATTGGATAGAACTACGTGATTGGTATGAGCAAAGATCCTCTGCACATCACATGTTTTTCATGTACAAATATTTGCATGCAAATATATTGTAACCTTAAGGCCTCTTTTTTTATTAAAAAAAAATGGCTGTCTTCTTCTGAGAGCTTTGCCTGAATAAGGCTTGGGCTGTATAGTACATGTCATGCTCTGCTGAACAGCAGTTCTCCTGGAGTGAAATGTGCTGCTGAACAGTGGACAGCAATACTGTGCGGTACTTTAGGACAAGAACTGAAGATGCTCACAGTAATAGCAGGTTTACTGAAGTAGTGCCTGGGGACCATCAAGAAAGGAAGGATGATCCAGCGGTTTAGGGTGCTTTTGTAGGGCTTGAGCAATCTGAGTTTAAGTCCCTGCTGTGCCACAGACTCCCTCTGTGACCTTGGGCAAGTCACATAGCCATTCTGTACTTTGGTTCTCCAACTGTAAACTGAGGATAATAACCCTGCCCTGCCCCACAGGGGTGAGTGGGGATAAAGATTTTGACGGGCTCAGACCTATGATGATCATGGGTTCCATATAGGTACTTCTGATAGGTAGAATGGGCCCCCCGCTGTAGCAAGTGTTGTACAAATAGAGCTGATTGTCCCTGCCCCCAAAACCTTAACAGTCTAAATATACAGGACAGGGAACGGGCATAACAGACAAGCACAGTAAACGAATGCGATGGCCTGGAAATATCCTGCTACTGCCTCAATTATTTGTATTCCTTGGATGTGGTTTAGTTAGGAGGGGATTAGTTGCTGAACAGACAAAGGAAGGGGGCGAAGGGGCATAGGAGAGGGAGGGAAGGAAAGCGAGGAACATGGAAGCAAGATGGGGTGAGGCTGAGGGGAAGGCATTGGAGCAAACCAGTCCCTGCTGTAGCACTTGTTGAGGCAGCTTCTGCGTCTGCTCCTGCAGGCTACTGTCTCTTTGGCCTCTGGGACTAGTTCCTCCATGGACGTTTTCTTTCCCCAGCCCCACATCATGGCTCGGGGTGGGGGGTTGCTGCTGCATGGGTCCTGGTGCTCTTGTAGGTTGCGGGATCTTGTGGGAGAGATCGCTCCTGCACAGTTCTGGTTCTAGAGGTATTGGGCAGGGGGGAGAGGGGGTCCTTCCAGCTGGGCCCCACCTCTTCCCCTTCCCCAGCCCACTGTGGCAATGCCTGCTGCTTTTGGATCTGCTCTTGCTGTCCTTCGTAAACGTGAATTGTGACACTAGACATAGGGGGTTGGGGGGTCACTGTTTGTTTATTTTGGGTTTTAAAAAGGTAGAGATGTTTATTTTACAGAGATTAAGAATCTATGTGGTGTTCTTTACTGGACTACATCAGTTTCCAGAGATGATAGATGTTGGTCTAAACTTTTTAATGTTGTCCCTCAAATTCTGTTTTTTATTTTGTATTTTCCATGAGAGTGGGAGTCACAACCCACGCTGAGTTAAAGATAGCCCGGCACAGTTTTCTGCTGTTTGCTTGCTGGTTTGTACAAGAAAGGAAACTGAGCCTTTCACCAGCACAATTAACACTTCAGACTTCTGATACTGCAAGCCCCTGAGCCCAGCTACCTTTTTACAGAGAGCTAGGCCCTGATTCTGCAAGCACGTCTGCATGTTTACCTTAAAGCATGTGCATACTGCTCTTGATGCCAGTGGGACTGCTCACATGCGGATAGCGAAGCATCTGCATAAATGTTTGCAGGGTGAGAACTTGTTTTGAAACCTACTGGAGAAAGCAAAATCAGATGACAATTTTTTAGCACTTTGGGTCAACAAATAGGTGCCATAGCTAGCAAAATCTCTTCTGTGCATCATCCTGTTAACCACAAATTCTTTCCCCTTATTGGCCACCGGCCTTTGCTCTGCTCACAAAATGCATGTTCCCAGACCTCACCGTGTTGCTGAATAATTGCACAGTTTGGTTTCCAGCTATATGCTACTTACTCTAATCCGGTGGCCCTTTCAGAAATATGGAGGGAGATTGTGTCAGCACGTAAAACATTATATGTGTGTTCTATCCTGCAAGGTTGTTGAGCGGGAGGGGACAGAGGTGCATATAGACCTATGAGAAGTTGGGTGGGGAGCAAACCAAGGCTAGTATGTGTGTGGGGGGGGGCAACAGCCCCCTTTGCCCTAGATCAAATAACACCCCTCTAATGCTCCAATGTTCACTGTAAAGTATCTTAAAGTACCAACATACTTTACATACAAACGCTCCCCATCATATTGCTTTGTGCTGTAGAAACCTGCACGTTCGCCTTTCTTGACTCTTGCTCACTTTAACTGCAACTTTGTGGTTACGTTAATAGCATAGGGCTTTTTGCATCTAGACTGAGACTTCAAAGCAGCCGAAGGCAGTTAAGTACCCAATTCCTACTGAATTTCAGCGGGATTTGAGTATCTCTGGATTAGATGAAAATGTCCTAATTTTTTAAAAGGAAACACGAATGTGTATTTCGATATAGTATTTTGGAATAAAACTTTCAGCAGATAATATGTGAACACCCCCGCCCTCCCTCGGTTGACAGAGCAGTGGCAGGTTCTGTGGTCAGAGTTAAAGACGGCAGACAGTGCCCTGTGACACGGAGGCTTGTACCGCAATAGCCTGTTTGGTAGTTCTTGCAGGACAGCACTGAAAGACCCTTCCTTTCTTGAGAACAAATTCACTCATATTTTAAGAGGGACAAAACAAAATTAGGAGATTTTTCCTCTGAGCCTGAGACTTAAGCACTGAAATTCAATAGGAATTGGGTACTTCACTTAATGCATCTCATTCAGACTCCTTTACACTTTCTTTGAGGTATTTCAGTTACGCTGCTTTTTCATCCTCCATAACGGTTTCACGGAGGATGCAGGGTAAGGTCTCTTTACAAAATGCATCTGAAATAAAGAGCAGATGCTAAGACCAGCAGGAAATTTAGTGATCACACAGGAAAAGAGCACAAAGTTAGTCAATGATCAGGTAGGATTTGGTCATTGCTGAGGCTTCTGTGGTATAGATTTCTCCAGTGCAGCTGACACAAACACCAGCCTAGAACACAGGCCTGAGGTCAGAGTCTGAGGCTGTTTATTAAATAAAGTATTTTGTTCTTAGCATATCAGCCTATGGACACACACCACATTATATTGGTGCAATGCAGTAGAGTACCTCAGTGTAAGGGTAGCAAGCTCAGGGCACTTCAGTCCCACTCTCCTTGTGCCTGGCAGCACTCAGGAATAACATGACTTCTGTCTTATAAAAGAATGATACTTGCCCCTTCCCTTTCTGTTACTGATGGACAACAATCCCACCGGCAGAATTGGAACGAGCCTCTTTGTGAGTGAAGTTTGAAAAATTTGTTTAATAATTTCTATTCCTCATTGCCCTCCATTCCTGCTTCCATTTTAAGCCCCCTGTGCACCTTCTATGCTGTCTCCTCTCCTTTCTCACCCGTCCCTTGTTCTCCTGCCCTCTTCTAGCTGTAAACATGTAACTGTCAGAGTGTAAAAGTGAAGGAGGGAGTGAGTACAGCAGTTCACAGAATGTTTTTTAAAAGTGTAAGGGCAGCTAGTCTACACTGTCACGCTACATGGGTGTAGCTGGACCGATGCAGCTGGTAAAGACATGCTATGATGACGGGAGAGCGCTCTCCCCTTCGGCATAATGACTCCACCTCAGTGAGAGACGGAAGCTATGTAGTCAGCAGAGCGCCTCCTGCCAACATAGTGCGGTGTTAGACACCACTTTAAGTTGATGTAACTGATGTCGCTCGGGGGGGGGGGGGTGGCTTTTTCACATTGAGCGACGTAACTTACATCGACTTAGGTGGTGGTGTAGACAAGCCCTTTATGTTTGTATAGTACATTATTATTATTTATGATTGGTAGTCCATTGCTGACGATGATGACGATTGTCACAATACTCATATATGGCTACGCCTATGGCTCCCCAGTCCAAATCCTGATGCATAGAGTTGGCTGCACTGAGGGCATGGGAAATCTGGATCTATGGTTAATGATTTATTTTATTTTTTCTACAGGTTCTTCCAGACCATGGAAGGAAAGGAAAAGGGGGGTGTTGTACATCTCAAGGGCCCTGCTAGACACGCTGAGGCATTCAGTGATACAGGAATTTCATACAATTAACCAGAATTCATAAGTTGTACAGAGACAGATTCCCCAAATCATCTCAGTTGAGTTTTTCAAGGAATTTGGCAGGTGAGCTTCTCTGAAGGAGGTGTTGATTATTTCCATGAATAGTGGGCATAGCTGTTCTTACCTGGCTTTTACTAGCAAGGAGGGGCATGAATCTGTTTCACAGGTTGTACCTCTAACATTTTTCAGGGCTTCTTGAGGTTCAGTGTGTATGATGGGGGCAAACTCAGAGATGGTGGGGTGAATAATACAATCTGGTCAGCAATGGAATTTTCTTTCCCAGTCAGCTCCATTCGTACATATTTGGTTGATCTTATCAGTGAAGCATGCTGACAGCTCTTCACAGCAGTGGACGCCTGGGTCTGATGTCTGGGCTATGCAGCTTGGATTGCTTAGCCAGTTCACTCTGCAAAATAGCTCCATTGACTATGATTCTGCTGCATGGATGTTGGAGGATCAGAAGGGTTGTTTTGCCTCCTTTACCGCGGTGCCATAGTCTCTAAGATTGCTGTACAAGGGGGGGATTTGCTGCAGTAACAGGAGGGGTATGAGGGATGGACAGAGAAGTGAGGTGGAGACGACTCTGGAGCTGCAGATTTATCAACCAAGTAGTTAATAAACTAATGTTACTAGCAAGTGCTACGTGAGACCTAGGGTTGCCAGCATTACTGCATAAGGTTGGTTTTTCCTCCAACTGTACTTCCTACTTGTCAGGTCACTGCGTGACAAGGGAACCTGACTATTTTACTGTGGGCACAAATTCTGCAGAACCTTGGCTGACTCCTACAGCCCCGGCATCAGACACAGGGCTCTATCCTGTGAAGTGCTGAGCGCCCTTTCCTCCCGTTACTTCAGTAGGAGTTGATGTCACTCAGTGCCTTGTAGTCCTAATGCAACAGAGCAGCTTTTCCCTGGACCAGGCGCAGCTTGCCAAGGAAGTGCTATTACGAGAGTCTGAATATCTCAAAGGAATGGGACTAATGCTGTTCTTGCAGGTTTAACCACTGGCCTTCATTTAAGTCACGGTGGTTCTCAAACTTTTGTACTGGTGACCCCTTTCCCACACCAGACCTCTGAATGCGACCACCCCCTTATCAATTAAAAACACTTTTTAATATCTTTAACACTGTTATAAATGCTGGAGGCAAGAGGGGTTTGGGGTGGAGGTTGACAGCTCGTGACCCCCATGTAGTAATCTCCTGACCCCCAGTTTGAGAACCCCCAATTTAAGATAAGTTAAGAAAAGCCTGGCTGGGATGATTGAGTTGTGGTTGGTCCTGCTTTGAGCAGGGGGTTAGACTAGATGACCTCCTGAGGTCTCTTCCAACTCTAATCTTCTATGATTCTATAATCACAGGTCCCAACTTAAGACAAAGGTGGACATGAGCCCGCCCAGAAATTAGCACTGTGTGGGAGAAGACTCCACTGTATATTGTTTGACCAGAAATATATGTGTGTGTCTGTGTGAAGAGAAGCATCAGACAGAGCAGAGAGAGAGAAACCGGGGGTGGAGGGTGAGAGGGGGACAGACACACAGGCTGAACAAGCCACTAGAAGCATGGTTTGGCCAGGGGAGTAGCCTAGAGAGAGGATTTGGCTGGAAAGGCTAAATGAGTTTTGGACCTGTGAACAAGGACACTGGCTCCTGTTTGGTTCCTCCTGAGTTTGGGGAAACAGGACTTTGTACATTCTTTGTAAATAAGATTGAATCAAAGGTAACAGACTCCATCAGCAATTTCTCTTCCTAACTGGAACGACCCACAGAGGTCCCAACTTTGAGCAGACAGGTTAAAAGGTGTAATAGTATAGAACCTGAATAGAATAGCTGGAGAGAGGAGTATGACTATCCCTAGTGATGAGATAAATTAAAGATGTCTGTCTCCAATGGGAAATATGAATTGTAATTAAAAAGTTCTTATTTTTCAATCTGTTTTCCACTTTTATGCAATGACAAGAATTTCTTCTCTTAAAATGCCCAGAGCTTCTGAACCAAATACACCAGGGAGCAGCTTTCTTTTAATGTAGGAAAAATCAACAGTTTATGTGAAATCCCAGCACCAGCTCTAATGCAATTGTACTTTAAACACTTTATCTCTTAGATTGCTAGGAAAGAAGGAAGTCAAAACCTTCTGATAGACACTTCCTCTGACTGGATACGTCTGTCATCTTGGCTCATGCATAAATATGAGGCAACTCTTAGACAGTCCGTCTTCTTGTAGCCTCTCATCTTTCTCTGCACTTGCCATGGCTGGAGAAATAGTATATGCAGATTTAAACATTCCTGGAGCTTTTTCCACTTCACAGTCACTGCATCCATCTCAGCATCCCAGTAAGTGTATTTAGCTTCTGAGTTTTGTACCAATATGGTCTCTTTTTTTGGTTTGTATTCCACTTTTTGGATGTATTTTTTTGTTTTTACGGGTAGCACAGATATTTATATAAAGTTTCTCTAGAAACAAAGAGCAGGTGTGAGTCTCTATGTTCCGTTTGTATGTTAGGACTCAGCAAATATGAGGTAATTTACCATCTGTCAGAACTAGGAGCTGAATCTCTTTAATGCAATATTGTGCATTTTATTTTAATGTTAATACACAGTGTCACAGAAATCTTCAGAGCTACTGCCAGTCTGTAGATGCAAATTACATGTGAAGAACAATACAGCTTTATTTTATGGCATTTTTCTACTTACTTCATAAACACTTGGGGGTGGATACTCATGCTGTATTGAAGATGCAGTACATAGTATAGTGGGGTAAGTCAGAGGTAAAGAGCAATGCACTGATCAAGTCTTGGGAAGACTGAACACAAGGAGTCTGGGAGACTCGTATAATTGTCTTTCATTTCTTGTTGGAGACAGATCAGCGAGAAGAGATTGGATTTGGAAAATTACTGAGAAGTCAGTGCAAAGGGTCATGGAGGTGATTCCACATGGTGAGGGAAGTGTGGAGAAAAGGATCTGCTAAGATTCATGAAGAGGCAAGTAGGGAGACTGAAGTCTAGTATCCCATGTTAGGAAATAGGGGAGGAGAAGAGAAAGAAATGAAGGGCAACTTGGTCAATAAAGGATGAAAACTGTGGGGGACGCAGCGAGGGGTTGTACTGGATTCTGAATAGACCTGGATAGGGAAGATTTGTGAGGAGTCAAGTCATCACACTTCAGAGCAATTAAAGCTTGGACAACTCTTAACTCAGGGGATACCAACAAAGATGATCACAGTCATAAAGAGAAGAGGAAAAATAATAGCTTTCAGTGTTCCAGGAATAATGAATATACAAGGGACTGTAAATTAAACTTAAAAGGATGTAAAATGTAAATATATAAATCCTGGTATTTTTTTTACGAGACTCTCCTGCAAAGATTGGTATCTGGAAATTAAAAATCCTAATAATATTTTGCAGAACTGTGGTAAAATAGTAAATATATTAGCTATTTTCAGAGCATATTTTCTATAAATAGAGTCAGGCTACTAATGAGAGGACATTTTAGATGACTATTCTGCTGCTAATCTTAGAATCAAAATATATAAAGCTGATATTTCAGTTGACAAGCAAATTAAATACTAACAGTCCAGATATGGTATCACTCAGTCTGCGTACAGTACAGTATATGCAGGATTACATATAAAAAGTTAAACCATTATTTAGTTTGCGCAGTGAAGCATTCAAAAGTTAGAAAATGCCAGACATACAGTTGCTTGTACAACCTTAATTCTGCCCCACTGTGCAACCATTTTGTGTATGCAATGAGGAGGGATCCTTTGGGAAAAAAGTGGTCTTTAATTACATGGACATACATTGTCGTCATGCACATGCACACGGGAGCAGAGATAAGTGTGCTGGGGCAACTGTAAATCTGGCATTTCTTAACTTTTGAGTGCTTGACTTTGCAATCTAAATAACATTCTTTTGAGAGTTTTCTTTTTATGTAATTTACTAGAGTTTTTAAAGGACAAGGGTAAAACCAAATTCTGTTATGTGCCACTGTAGCAACCCCCATCGTGTATTTTCAGCAAAGTTTGATCCCTGAAACTTCAGCACAAACTGCTACTGCTTGAACAACAGGACTACTTTAATTAGCTGGCTGCAGCAAAACACTTATCGCAGAGGGAGGAAATAGACCACTGGGTTCAGGTGTTGGTTTGTGGGATGTTTCTTGGGGGAGCCCAGTCCATGCCAGCTCTCTCTCCCTCCAGGAGTTGGAACCCCTGTCCAAGTGATGCACCCAGGCCCCTGGGGTTATGGGCTGGGTCCAGGATGCTGTTGGGGAAAACCCTGACCCACTTTCTGCCCCCAGGGAGTAGGGGGAGCTCCAGCCCCATGCGGTGCCCTGTGGGGCTAGAAAATGGAAATGGGCCACAGTGGCAGGAGGTGGGTCCCTACACATGTCCTTTACTTCCCTTGGAAGCTAGAGCTTAAATTGTGGAACCACAGTAGCTGCACTTGTCAAAGTGTTTCTAGGACAAGTCTAATTTTTTAACACCATCTCTAACCCTCCTCCCCCCATTTTATCCCAAAATTTGTTAATCTGAGGCCAGAAAAAAAAAGGAAAATTTGAAGTCAATTTAACAAATCATTTAATTATTTTTAATTAAAAGACAGAAAAGCAACTTTGACTTTAAAAAAAAATACACCATTTTTTTGTCCATGTATGTCTCCAGAACATCTTGTTCTATTAAGGACATAAGTTTTATTTATTAAATCTCAGTGAGAACTCATGTAAGATGGACTTTTATGAATAATGGGCTACAGTTTTTAAAGTTACTCGAAGTTAAGTTCTTTGACATTGAAAGCACTGAAGTCTCCTGTCATGATTACAGACTTGGTGGAGCCTAGAAACTGTTACTCTTTTTATTTTAAATGTTGTTTCTAAGTCTCTAGCCCTTTTCCTCTTTGAAGACAGCCTTGAAAATGTAAACCGATTTCTAGGGTTGTACTTCATGGTGGCTTTTCTAATTTTGTTACAGTAGGAAAATATCAGAGCCATTTTAAAAGCACCAAACATTAGAATGTCAAGAAGTGGACAGTTCAGGGAGTGAGTGTGTTCCCTCTGCCATGGTCTACTGACGATTTTCTAAATCCTTCTCTCACAGTCTTTTTGCACCATCCAACCAACCATCACTTTCTTCCCCAAAATTTGAAAACTATGTGCAAATGTCAACAGAGCAAGTGACTAGGAGACTAGTTTCCCATTCAAGGGATTTACTGTTCAAGGGAACTCCATCAGCCACTGCCTGCTCCAATTCTGGTGCCTCCTCCATCAGCACTGGCATTGGCTGAGCCAGCACCGGCCTAGCCTACTGTCCCTCCACACTGGTGTCTAAGACGATGACATATGGGACAGTGATGCTTCCAGGACATGGAAGAATCCCCATTTGGGGACACTACTATGCCATTGTCCTGCATGAGAACATAGTCTTTCTGTAGTGTCACCTCCTGATGACTAGACAGTTTCAAGAGCATCTCGGGAAGAGGGCCAATACACTGGAGCTCAAGGCAGGTCCCTCTGCAGTGGAGCTGTTCGGTATTCTGCAGGTCCAGGTGAAAGACAAGGTTATTCCCACCAGTCGGGCTGACAAATCCTACAAAGGACATTTGGCTGACTGTTGTGCCTTTTCCCCTGGTCTCTAAGAGAACAGATGGGGTGTATCCTGTCCCATCAGAAAGGTGTCAGTTCCTTCAGCAACACCTTACCCCCAACTCTGTGATGGTGTCAGTGGCCTAGGACAGACCCAGAGCCTAGCCTTCTGCTCTCACAAACAGGGAAAGGAAAAGATTTGTCCCCTTTTTCTACAGGATATTTCCCTCATGCTCTCTAGGACTGTGAGTCTTGAGTTACCAAGGAGTAATGGCCAGGTAGAGCTGTGCTCTCTGGGATACCCTGAACCCCCTCTTGGAGTCTCTTCCAAAGGAACAGAAGCAGGCAGCTAGGGCATTGCTAATGGAGGGGCTGTACAATGGGTAAACATCCTCTTAACACAGCCTTGGATATTGTGATAGGCCTGTGTAGATATTCCTGTCTCCACCCCCAGGCCTGATTACAGCAGCCCAGTGGAGGATAGAAGATCTGCCTTTTAAAGACAAGGTCCTCTTCAGTGAGAAGATCTGAAGAAGATCAGATCTACCAGGGCCACAGCTAGAAGCATATGCCCTACCCAGCTTGGGAATGATCTGAACCTTGACAGGTTTTCAAAGGGTGGGCTCAGCAACTTCTCAGGCCTGCTCCTCACTTTATGTCACATGAAGAGGTTCCAACCTCTCTCCACCGTGGCCATGGGGAGAGACCTCAAAAGCACAAGAACAAACACTTCCAGCGTTCTTCATCACAGTCCTCCTCCTCTGCCTACAAGCTGCCAGTTTAATGGGACACTCGGGAGCCACATAAGTTTCTGGCACCTTCCCCTCTGACATTCTCTGTCCCCTCCCTTCAGGCTTTGTCTATTCTTCTACAGCAACCGATGCACAGTAACTTCTGATTGCTGGGCTTTGGAGACTGTCACAAGGCAGGGCTTCTGCCCTGCTTGCCAAGGATTCACTACCACACCCACAGTTGTCTTTAAGTAGGTTTATTGTCAAACTTAAACAAACAATCAGTTCCTCAGATCACCCTTTAGATGTTAGACTCTTGCTGCCTCCTCTCCTGGTGGACTCTGGCAGTCCTGCTTCCTGTGGCTTCCTAAATTTCTCTCAGTCAGCTTCCTTCTCACAGCTGGTCCTCACTCACTGGAACTTTCCCTAACCCTTTATTCCCCAGGTGCAGTTCCCTGCCCTCTTGACTGGCCCAGCTGGGAGCACCTGCTATGGCACAGGACACTGGACCTGCTTCAAGTGACAGGAGCCAGCCACCCTGTGACAGAGACCATTCCATCCAGTTCTGCACCAGGTCCCGTCCCCACTCTCCTGCCTCCTTCCTTCCTCAGGGGGACACCCCTCTCACAAGAAAGTCTTCCTGGAAGAAGGGGACTCACTCCTCTTGAGAGTAGCTATAGAAGTTCCTCTGTGTAACCAAGGGAAGGTACTCTACGCCCACTACTTCCTCATCCCCAAGAAGGAAGGTCTATAACCTATTCTGGGCCTTGAAGACCTGAACAAATATGTCAGGCTTTGGATCCTTCCCTCACTCTTCAGGAGGCTCGTACTTCCCTCTCGACGTGAAAGATGGATACTTCCACCTGGCTATCGGGAAGAACCATTGCAAATACCTGAGATTCTGCATGGGAGTCAGGTACTTCCAATTCACAGTTCTTCCCATCACCTTGTCAACAGCCCCAGGGGTATTTACCAAGTGTCTGCTGATGGGGCTGGCACACAGCAGACATTGAGGGATACGTTTACTTGCATGGATGGATGGATGGAAAAAGCCAAGTCAGAGGAAGCCGCTTGCAGCCTGTTTTTGCTATGCCGTCATATGGTGAAATATCTCCCCTTTACCAACACTATGGAGCAAACTCTCTGCTGACATTGATTTCCCTGGAGTCACTGTCACAGTTCTACAGGATTGGCGCTGCGCTCCAGCTTTTGAACAGTCTCTTGGAGGAACCCCATCAATGTGCCAGATCCCCAGTGGGTCTCACGCATCCTTCAGGGTAGGCCAAATGGCCTCACCTCCTCCTAGACTGAGCTCCTGGGCTCCAGCACTCCTGTTCCACACTGTGAGCTCTGCTCAGTGAGCCCAACTGAGCTAGACTCCTGGCAGAGACTCTCACAGCCTACAGCCATTACTGGACCCCAGCCAGTATTTACAGTGACACCCAGAGATGCAAGTAGGCCAGTGCGCCCTGGTGCAGCACACTGGTAAGAGAGTGGCCAGCTGGGGATGGGGCTCCACCCCTCCCAGTGGCCCCTGGCTCCAGCGCCGATGGCCGGGGGGACGAGGCCCCTGTCCTGGTGGGCCCGAGCCAGCACCCACAGCCCCTGGGCGGCGTGGCCACAGCGCCCCCAGGCTCCAGCCCCAGTGCTCAGGTGGCCAGGCAGCGCGGTCACCGTGCCCTGGGGATCCGCCAGCCAAGCAGCACCGTGGTCCCTGTCGCCCCGGCCAGCCCCAGGAATCAGGCAGCTGGGCAGCTTGGTGGCTGCACTCCCAGCCCTGAGCTCTCCCCAGTCCTCTGCCCTGAGCCCCCCACACACCTCCAAACCTCTGCCCTGAGCCCCCCACACCAACACACACTCCAACCCCCTGCACTGACTCCTGCACCCCCACCCCCTGCCCTGAGCCCCCCCACACACCCCTCCAAACCCCCTGCCCTGAGCCCCCCGCACTCCATCCCACACCTACATTTCTTACAGGTACTGTCGTATTGCAACCCCCCCAACCCCCTGCCCTGAGCCCCCCAAGGGGCGGGTTGCAATACAACGGTACCTGTAAGAAATTTAAGAGTGGTAGCCATGTTAGTCTGTATCAGCAAAAAGAACGAGGAGTCCTTGTGGCACTTTAGAGACTAACAAATTTTATTTTATTTTAACAAAGCTTATGCCCAAATAAATGTGTTAGTCTCTAAGGTGCCACAAGTACTCCTCGTTCTTTTTGTGAGAAATTTAAGTTACTTTCGCCCCAGTGACACCTCAAAAAGTGTCTTCAGCACAGAGTAGGATTTATTAGTCACCTGGAACACAGCACGGGAAGTCCTTAGGTTAGCAGAGAGACATAAAGGTTAAAACACAGGCCATTCTTGTCTGGCCACAATTCACCAAGCAAGCATTAATGAACTCCATTTTCAGCCGTTTTCTCTCTCTTTGACTTCCTTCCTTAGTCAGTTCCCAGGTGAGAGAGACCCCAAGCTTTTTCCAGACCCCACACTTATTACCCTCACCTCTCCCAGTCCTTTGTCCTGAAGCTGGGGTTTCTGCTCTACTTCTCTGCTGAGAGGTGGGCAAATCCTCCCCACTCTGGATCATGGGTTGCTAGGCGTCAGTGCCCTGGTGGCTGGGCTTTTCACTGTCTTCTCAGAATTTCCACTGATATGGGTCAGCCTTGGACAGTCCTGTTAATGACCCATTCGGTCAGCTCAGACAGCTAGGTCATACACAAACACACACACACCTCTCTCAGGCTAGGCCTACTCTACACAGCTTTTAGCGACACAGCTGTGTTGCTACAGCTGTGCCGCTAAAAGGCACGCAGCGTAGCCACTGTTTGTCAGCTCTCCTGCCAACAAAAAACTTCCACCTCAAACGAGCGTTAGCTTTGTCGGCAGGAGAGCGCTCCTGCCGACAAAGCGCTGTTCACACCCAGTGCTTTGGGTTTTTTCAATACCTCCTGAAAGACAAGTTTTGTCATTCAGATAGCCTTAGTCTATCCTGAAAGCAAATTTAATCTTTTTCTCTTTGGTATTTTCTTCAGCTTCCCGCTACTTCCATCGAGTTAGACAATTAATGTTGCCCTTGTGAGGGTGATGTGGCCTCAGAGTTTTAAACTCCGTGCATGATCATTTCCCTCCTCATATTCCATGAGCCTGAACTTTATCCTTATCTGCATATGAAGTAAGTTGCGCAGCCTCCAAAGGAGAGCAAGTTTCCATGTTTTCTTTTAAATCTTTACCCAAGGTTTTGGTTCTTGCAGATAGCGCTCTGTGCCCGCGCTGGCATAGGATTGCTCTCTGCCTCGGATGGGCCGGGAACATCATCCTGGCGGTAGCTGTGATTGTGTTTGGTGTTTGGGGTGAGTAGCTCAGTGCCACAGATTCTTTGGCTCAATGAATTCTCCTCTTCCTCCGCAATTCCATTTAGATTCTATATTTTGGCCTCCAAAACATTTCTGAATAAATTACCAGGCATTTCATCATTGCCATAGACATCAAGCATGTTATATAAAGAAAGTAGAGTTGAGAGCTTGATACATGAAACATACATTATTTGGCTGTAACAGATGTGTAAGATGTTCATTCCACATTTTTGCACCTTACGGTGGATAATGAGTGAGATTCCATCTCACACTACTTCTCTGTCCCCATCCTAACTTGATAGATATCCCATAGTATTTGGTGACTTGATACTTTTTAACCTTCTCTCTTTTGTTGCATGTCCTTGTGAAGGACAGACCAGAGGACAGAGAACAACAAATGGAACTGAATGTAATTCCAGCCTGAAGGATTCCCAGTCCTGCTCGAAACAAAGTTTGTATCCAAAGCCAGACAACAACTTAACAGGTAACTGTATCTGCTATTCTTTGTGCTCTTTGCAACCTTGTGCCCACCTGGAAGAACTCTCACTCCAAACTCGCTGATTGAAAATTCAGCTACTGTGTTACAATAACTTATACATAGCTGAGACGTGCCATACCTTCATCTTCCCATCTTTATTTTTCTGGTCATTTGTTCTGTTTGATGGTTGCAAGATAAATACTACAACTGGCTGAAACATTTTCTGATTTTTAATCAGAAAAGAGGGTTTTGTCAAAAAAAAAATGTTCATGGCAAAATTTATTTTTAAATTTTCTGAAATTTTTCCAAAGGGGAAATTTTCAGAGAAAAACTAAAAATTTTGTTTCAAAACCTTTTCCCCTCTTTCCTGTATATTTTATCTTACCCCATCTTTTCTCCAGTGAGAAAAAAAGGTAGAAAATAAAAAAGGGGAAAACCCTCTGAAAATTTCTGTCTGGGAAAGTCTCACTTTTCAAGCAGCTCTAATAAATAGGTTTCAGAGTAGCAGCCATGCTAGTCTGTATTCACAAAAAGAAAAGGAGTACTTGTGGCACCTTAGAGACTAACCAATTTATTTGAGCATAAGCTTTCGTGAGCTGTAGCTCACTTCATCGGATGCATAAAGTGCATCCGTTTTCAGCTGTTTGTGCAAAGTAGTAGGAGTGACATCTAGTGGTCATTCAAACTACTTTCAATGTGTATGAAACAGACACATTTTATAGTGTAATAACAATTCTATTATATAAAAAAAAACTACATTAAAAGAATGTTTTGGCTGCAAAGTCAAGAATTCAGAAGTTAGGGAATGACAGATTTATAGTTGTCTATAAAACCTTAACTCTGCCCTTTTGTATTAGACTCTTGCTGAACATCACATAGGAAATCTGTGGCAGAGTCCGGTCCAGTGCTTTCAACACGAGAGCATCTTTCCTCTTCTTAAAGCCATCTGACTCATCCACTGTCCATCCTATGCACTGAATGAGGCAGGGTCTCATGGAAAAAACAGAATGTGATCATGTCATTAAAGACCATATCAATGTTTTACAGAGGGGCCGATTAAAGGTTGTCTGGGCAATCTTATTTCTTACACTTCCTAGCTTTCAGCTGTTCACCTTTGCAGCCCAAATAACATTATTTTAACATATATGCAAATGTAACTTAATACTTCCCACTAGGAGAGCCTGTTTTCAGTTGCTTTTATTTTTGCTGAAGATTAAATGTTCACGCTGAACCTTTCCATGCCAGGGGTCTGCCTCAGCCTGATTTTTATTTTTATTTTTTACATTTCAGCCAAAACTGTCCAGCTGTTCATGAGGACCAGGCTAGTGAAAATATATTGTTTTCCTCATGTTAAAAAAATTCTGGAGACTTTGTCTTTCAGAAGCTTTAGTGCTGTCCCCATGCTTTGGAATAGGGACTTGACGTTTGGCAAGGGGGTGGCTTACGAATCAGGGATCTGTCTGGCTTTAGCTGCACCTGTGAATATCTGCCCAAATTTGGCCAAGTTTTAAACCTTTGAAAATTCATGATTCTATCAGCAGTGAGCGTGCTCCAGCCCAGAGCTACAGAGGGCTGACTAGTAGGACTTTCCATGCAATTGCAGCCCTGAGCTGCTGCGGGCAAAGTTTTGGGTCCTGACAGGGGCACTGAGCATGGGGATCCTGTCTCTCCTGTGATTTCTGAGCCCCACTGAGCCCTAGCAGCATGGAGGAGGAAGTTGCCTAAATTGCATGCAGAAGGGACAAGAGCCAGAAGGCGGGGGAGAGAGTACATTGGGGCTGGTGGTGGGGGAGAGTTATTTAAACCAATCCTTTCACAAGTGATCACTAACTGTGTTCCTCATTCATTGGGTGCCTGAACTGAGACCCTGGGATCTGATTTGTAGAAGTGTTGAGCAACTGTAACTGAAATCAATGGAAGCTGGGCACTGAACTTATGAAGTACTATAGAACGCTAAGAACTTTGAAAAGTCAAGGCATTTAGATGCCTAAATCCTGCCTAAATACCTTGTGAGGAGCTGAGTTTAGGTGTCTCAAGTTGGATACCCGGTGTTAGTGGATACTTTTGACCTCAAACTCTCTGTGCCAAAGTTCCCCATCTGTAAAATGGAAATATTGCAATCCCCTGATCTCACAGGGGTGCTGTGAAAATTCATTACTGTTTTGTGAAGCACTCAGCTACTATAGAAAGGAGTGCCAGAGGAAAGCCCATGAGGAAATTAATAGTTCTGTCTTCAGAGCCGGCTTTGAATAGTGTGCAGTATTACTGGGGCTACACATTGAATGAGAAGAAAATAAAATATTGAACAGCTGCTCGGTAAGTCAGCAGCACCGTCTGTCATGTGCCCAGAATGAAGCAGGGGTCTGGTGGAGAAAACTGGTAGGTGATCATGTAATTACGGACTGGATCATAATGCATATGCACCAGGGGGTCCAATAAAGATTGCACAGGCAACCTCAATTCTGACACTTCCTAACTTTTGAGTGCTTGACTTTGCAACTGTAATACTGTTCTTGTAAGGTGGTTTTGTGTGTGTGTGTGTGTTTGATCTGAACAGAGCCCTCATTTCTTTGGGAGTACTTGGGGAAGCCA